ACCTGGAGCTGGGCTGCCGTGAGTCGCTGGTGACAGCACAGGCTGCAGAAAAAAAAAAGAAAAAAAAAGCTCCTAACATGCAAGAACTCAGGGCAGATTTGTGGTGATACATTCTTTGACACTCCTCCCACTGAGATGGGGGAGGAGGGGGTCTGTGTCTCCTTCTCTTGAATCTAGGTGACTCTGTGGTTACTTTCAGGAATAGACCACAGTAGAAGTGACACTGTGCTAGTTTCCAGATTAGCAACCTTTGGTCTTTTGGAACTCTCACCCTGCAGGAGCCAGCTGCTAAGTAAAAAGTCACAGTTCCTTAGTTTCCCTGTCTCTGGCCAGGACCTTCTGTGAAATATGGTAGAACAGGATCTCTGTTCCAATCGCAGTCAGGGAGGAAGTTGTTCACATCTCTTTTAACACACTAAAGAAGTTCCTTTCTACTTCTAGTCTGCTAAGAGTATTTATGAATGAATTTTGATGTTGGTCAAATGTTTTGTTTGTACCCACTGCGAAGATTTTATGATGTCATTTTTTTTCCTTTTATGGTGAATCACACTGATTGATTTTCTAATATTAAACCACCTTTTTATTCTTTGGCTAAACTCATCATGATCCTGATATATTATCCTTTTTACATATGGCTGGAATATATTTGTTTAGGATATACTGTGATATATCAATTCTCCCCAACATGCTATGTAGATTCAATGCAACTCTAGTAAAACTCCCATCATTTAAAAAGTTGCAATTAATATTAACAAGTTTATTCTGAAATTTATATAGAAAGGAAAAGTTGAGGATACTCAGAACAATCTTTAAAAAAAGATACACTACAAATAAAAAGTTAAAGACATTTAGACAGTTTGATATTGGTACAAGGAAAATAGAACAAATGACCAAAATAATACATAAATAAACCTACACATGATTTATAACTTATCACTTGACTTATGACAAATATGACACTGGAGAGTGGAGAGTGGGTCTTTCAGTAAACAGTGCAAGGTTAGTTGGATATTCACATGGAAAAGAGTAAAAACTGACCCCCTACATTGCACAATTTAAAAAATCCATTTCAGGCGGATTGTCAATATAAACATAAAAGGTGAAAAAATAAAATTTCTGAAAGTTAACACAAGAAAATATCTGCATGAATTTTGGTTAGGTGAAGATTTCATAGTATGACACAAGGCACTAACCATAAAAATAGACTGATAAATTGGACTGCATTAAAATTAAGAACTATGTTCCTCAAAACGCCATTAAGAGATTATAAAAGGTAAACTACAGAGTAGGAGAAAATATTTTTAAGAGATCTTACCAAAAAACTTAATACACAGACTATGTAACAAACCTGTACAAATTCGTAAGGAAGATGGGCAAATCGAGCTGAAAAATGGGAAGAAAACCTGAATGGGCATTTCACCAAAGAGAATATGCAAATGCTCAATAAACATACAAAAATATCCTCTAGTTCATTCGTCATCAGGCTAATACAATTTAAAGTCATATGTGATAACATTATGGACCTACAAGAATGGCTAAAGCTGAACGGACTGTAAAGCACTGTCAAGACTCGGAAATCTCATACACACTGGTGAGAAGGGAACTTGGTTCAACCATTGTGGAAATGACCAGATCTAGGAGTACTGTGACTCAGTAGTTCTTCTCTCAGATATATGTCTGCTACAAATGCATACATTCATACACCTAAAATATACATATAAGAATTTTCATAGTAGCATGATTCAAAATACCTGCAAACTGAAAGCAACCCAAATGTTCTTCAAGAGTATAATAGGTAAATATAGTATATTCATAGAATGGAAACAATACATTAAAATAAACAAAATACTATTACAACAATGTGGGCAAATCTCACAAACAAGTGAAAAAAGCCATATACAAAACCATATATTTGTTTGATTCTACTTATATGATATTCAGAAACAGGTAAAGCTCACCTATGCTGTTAGCTGTTAGAATAGTGATCACAAATCAAGAATGGGGGCAGGGAGCTCTAGAGTGCTATTGATGTTTTATCTGTTGATCAGGTCATGCTACATGTATGCATTCAGTTTGTGAGCATTCATTGGACTATTAGTTAAGATATGTGTGGTTGTTATACTCCAATAAATAAAAGACTTTATTTTAAAAGTATGCATATGCACGTGTAGAATTAGGTAGATTTTTCTAACATGTATGTACATAAATGTGTATGTGGATATATGAGTGGGGGAGGTGGGGTGGGGGGAGAGAGGGAGAGGGAAAGAGGGAAAGAGAGAGAGAGAGAGAGAGAGAGAGAGAGAGAGAAAGAGAGAGAGAGAGGGAATATATACCACAGCAGTTTTCATAAAGAAGGTGACCTAAAAGGATTAAGACCAATACTATAGCAGATTCTTTATCTTCAGTATTTCACCTGGTTGCCTTTCTATACTCAGATTTTTTAAATCAACATCATTTGACTTGGAAGAATTTCACAGTAGATACCTGCAGAAGGATTTTGGACTTGATTCAAGCAAGACACAGTAGTTCAGTTGCATACAATTTTTTTTTTCTGAAAACACATGTCAATTTTTATTTGAAAATATGATCAATGTTAAATCAAATTAAATTCGTAATTTGTAGTGGATTGTTATATCCCTATTTTTCTAGTATTATTATTTTTTTATCTGAAATTATTTCAATATTTTACTTTATGTAATTTTCCACATGCTTTTTTCTTTGTATGCAAGAAGGGGAAAAAAAACCCCAAACTTCTGGTTACACATAGACTATTAATTATACCACTTCTAAAAAGAATTGTCTATCTGAAACTATTGTTTCTTAAGGCATGCTTTACATTACTAGGAAAAAGGAAACATGTTAATTTAATAGAAAACATTGCTCAGAGGTCAACTGTTAAATTGTAGACTTACCTAGCTCCTTTAGTGATATTGATGTGATTAATACTACACAATTTGATAAAGGTGACATTTTGTTATAGAACAAGTAATATCTTAGTATTGAAATGTTTAACTTGCATCACTCACATCATTACAACCCAAGCTGTCTCTATAGTGCTTATCTTTCTAACACATTCCTTTGTAAAAATATTACCAGCAGACCAAGATAGTGATGGGGGCAATCCTTAAAAGCAGCACATTCACACATACTCCAGGTAGTACAGTAACGATGAGAACATCTTGAATTTATGTCATCGTTTCCATTAAGAAGCATAGATGTGATATA